GATAGTATTCACGGAATCCCGTAACGAGGCTGACTGTCAACGCTACGCCGATGGAGAACGACAATATCCAGACACGCGGGCTACGAGGTCGAGACGAGCGAGCGACGTATACGTTCGCCGTACCGTGTGGCTGCGACACCTCGTTTGCGGCGAGTGTTTTTCGTCGCGCTGCAACCATGACAGACAGCGACTGGCCTTTCATCGCGATAAAAATTACGACGGAGACCTACAGGCTGCCACCTACGAACTCTCGTCACCTAGCCCCGTCGTCGCGCCTGCAATTTTTATGAAGGCACGTTTGTATCCTAGAATTGACGATCGAGAGCGCATACCCGGCGTGTCATCTCAACTTTATTGCAGATATGAATTGCGTACGTAGCCGCGTGTCATTCGAGCGTCAAAAGAGCGCGCTGACGTCTGTTCAGCGCTCGTTGCAAATAGACATTGTCAGGCGACAGTGACTTATTTAATAGCCGGTCATTAGGCTTGTCGCATGATGCACTCAATCAAGCGAGCGCGAGCTGCGCACTGCAGCCAACAAACTGTCTCGCGCATTCGATCACGGAATTCGATCGACAGATACGTCCAAGGGGACAAGAAGCGAACGAACGCGTTAATTGCTTCGTTCGCTAATTCATGCCAATTCGTGCGAGTGTAACGAGCCTGCGCATATCTGATGTATGCGCGGAGAGTCTACATAGGGGGAGCCAAAAGGAAAATATCGAGGAGAGCTGGCTCCGAGGCTACGGGCACGTGTATTGTTATTCGCTCGGCGGTACACGCGTGTTTTCTATATACGTGCAGCCCTCTCGCTTCATCTCGTTAGCCCGGACTTAGTGCGCTGTCTTTCAGTTGCGTGCACACCGAACGACTCTTCGTCTTCGTCCCCTGTACATTAACTTGAAACGCGCACGCGCAGTTACTTGCAAAAAACCTCTGCGACACTTCAACTTTGAGCTCATTATCGTTTCGCTTAGCCGGCACCAAGCAGCCGCAACTGTCGACGTAGTCTATACTTGTACATCTTTGTCATTTGTAACTGTTGTGCAAATGAAACGACTGGGAATGACAGCCAGCTTCCCACATACGCGTTAAATATAGAGTAATAGGTTCGCGTCAGTGGCGCAAAGAAAAAAGTTGATCGACTGTTCGACAGGTCAAGCTACTATTCTATCCATACGGCTGCAGAGAGAGAGAGAGAGAGAGAGAGAATGCGGCTAAGTTAAATTGATAGAGCAACGCGCGACGGGCGACGGGGAAGCGTGTGTGTGCGCCGAAGAAAAAGAAAGAGAAAGAAAGCAAGCGACGGCAATGCCGAGTCGGTCTTTCGTCAGACGACTGTACTTTACATATTTAAATTGGAAGTATCGATTTCCTCGTTCCGCGAATTGACAGTCGGCCAAATCTTTGCAAAGTAGTTTTCCAACTGCTTCGCGGATTAAAAAGAAAGAAAAAACAAACTCATACCGCACGACACTTGCCGTCGTGGGAGGCTGGCGATGAAAAATAAAGAAAGAAAGAAAAAATCCTCGCCGTCGGAACTACATTTACGCACGGGCGTCCCGGGAAAAAAAGGGGGTGGAGGGGGGGACTAGGCACGGAAAAGAAAAAATCGCATCGACTGCGGATGCGAATGCGAAAATCGGATATATGCGGGCGGCCACTGCCGCGAGTGTTCTGGGAAATGAAAGAGACGTGTCTGCTGGCCGAACGATTAATCTTTACGTCCGCGGAATTGCTTCTTCTTTAGTAGCTCGTGCAATTTTAAAAGCTAATATTAGTTTCTACGAGCGATTTTAAAAGCACGCCATTATTTCCGCCAAGAGCGCATTTTTCACGTCTCGCGAGGATGATTGACTCTGAACTTATTGCTAAATTGAAAATTCATCTCGTGCGATAGATCGCGCTCGCTGAAAACAAGCGTTAAATCAGCCGGAGTAAAAAGCCGATGATGCATCCGTTGCGGATACAATAAAGCTGTCTAATTTATAATTTTTCCAAAGAGAGAGAAAGCGAGATGGACCATATTGTTCCGTACGTCGCGCGGACTCCCTCCTATGATTGATATTGCGTCGAGAGAGAGATTGCAGCGAGCGAAGGCGAAAATAATTTCGCGTCGATCGTGGCCGCTGGTAACAAAGAGACAAAAATAGGGTCAATACTAATTAACGATCCGATCGCGATGATTCGCGCAGGCCGAGGCTGGCGAGCTGTATCAGTCATGGCGATAAAACTGGCTGACAGACGGACCAGCCGAGACGAGCACTGCAGGCAGCAATCAATTATGCCGCTATCGCTATCTCGCGCGCTGGCGCAACGCCTTGCCGTGCAGCTTCTCCGCGAATGAGACCCAGTTCTTTGAGCGCGCTTGTTTACTCGACAACGCGAGCTCGACAAACTTTTTCCAAGTCGCAAATTTGAGCGCGCGGCGGCGCCCTACCGCTCGCTTCGTTCGAGGCTCTTTGGAGGTGTGCGCTCTCTTTCGCAAGCTCAAAGCGAAATATTAACTTGCGCGCTCGCTTGCGGAAAACGCGAGGCGCGTTATTTCCGTCGGCCGATCTCCAACGGCCGCATCTCGACGCTTCGCGCCGCGCACCGAAGCCAGCAATTGCCCGCTGAATAATAAAGCGCCCGCGCGCGCAACGCGGCAAGGGAATAATCGATTAGGCACATGACATACACGCAGGGCGTTGTCTTTTCCACAAATGACCGGCGGCGTGGCCGGGCCTGCGCGCGGACGTACACGTCAGTCGTGCCGGCCGTCGGCCAGGCTATCTTTAGCGGCTTACACGTGCTACAAACTATTCGTACGTGCACTCTATGCCGTTCAATTAATAATTCCACGGCTGTACGGCCGTACGTCTCCGTTTCGCTCTCTCGGATGCGCAGCTTGCCGCTGCACTCGCGGTACACCCTACCCGCGCACGTGTACGCGGATATTTATACAACGCGCCCGAGCTTCCTACAACCCGCTTCTATTATAGTCCCGATCGCGGCGATAAATACAGCATTTACACTTAGCGACGGCTATAAGTCCATTCGCTCGTTGCGCTCGCTCGATTCTCAATGAGATTTCCATTGTCACCTCGACGCTGCACCACTACTGCGCGTCGTTACCGATAATCAGTCGCTTGCCCTTCGTTTCGCCGCCTTTCTTTTTCCTTCCCGCTTCCTCGTCCTCGTCGCGCGCAGCGAGCGTCGGAAATGAAGCGCCGTTCTTTTGCACGAGTCGCCATCGAAAGCTCGACTTTGGGTCAGCTGTACTTTGGGCGCGGAGGATCGATTAAATTTGACAAGCGCATTTCGCGAAGCGAGAAAGTTTGGTAAACACCAGCAAGCGCAACCTTAAATCAGACTGAGTTAAGGAGCGAAGGTTCGACGCGCGACCAAAGTTCGGGGCTCCTACCTTTCCCACCCTATCCTATCCCATCCTTTCCTTCTTTCCTTTCCTACCTACCAGCCGATCGAGCGGGTATAAATTTTAGACGAACACGCAAGCTGAACGACGCTAATCTACCGCGACGTCTCGATCGTTGCACTCTGCCGGGCTCTTTCTAGCTCGCGAGCACGCCGGACTTGGAAATTCCGAAAGCAATCTCTTAATCTCTTTGCGCTTTGCGCTACCTTCGATCTACCGTTTTTCTTCGCCCGAATCGACTTTTCCACAATGAAAGAAATCAACTCGACGTATAAAAGAGAGCGGCTGCCGAGCGAACGGCCAAACTTTTGGGAAACCTTTCCAAGTAATTAAACGCGCGTTCCTCGAGACTTTACTTTGCCTCGGCGAGCTTCGTCAGCGTTAATATTTCACGTCGGCTCTCGATCGTTTACGCATGCCGCGATTCGCGTTACTCTTCCACGCGAAAACCGATCGAAGGCAAAACTTGCTCGATGTCGCGATAATGGATTCGCATGAATGGACAGTTATTTAGCGCGATTATTTTCAAAGGATCTTGGGCAAAACTTATCTCCGTCCCGAACGCTGCGTCGCTCCAGCCTTTTACAGTTCTATTATGACCAAGTTGGAAAGTTGATCGTTTGTCCCTCTCCCTCTCTCTCTCTCTCTCTCGAATTAGATAGTGAAAAGGCGTCGACGTCGGGAAAGCTCTGCTGCAACGGCACAAAACTTGAAAAGCAGCCACGGTTCTCGTTAATCGAATAAACTTGCCGGTGGAAAATTAACATCTCCAAGGAGGCCTCTCCCTTTGCACTTTCCGGGAGCAGCTCTTTTCAACCACGAGAAGACACAAAGCGCGTGCAAGTCCGTGGAAAACAATTTTCTCCTTTTGTCGAGAGAAGAGGCCAGAGTCCTTTTCGCAGCCGTCGGGCGATATGGCAATGCAGCCGGCGAATAGGAATAAGAGGGAGAGAAAACTGCATCACGGCGCTTTGCCGTGAAATTTCTCACGGCGGGATCATATAATAGACCGACCGAGTGCCAACCTCGTCGTGACCATCTCGACGTATTACGAACTCGTGGAATTTACACACACACACACACACACACACACACACACACACACACACACACACACACTGCACTTCTTTTGTCCCGCCACCGCGTGCCGCCTGCGAGTCCGCGAAATGTTTAGGTTTGGCTAATTGACGTTCATCGCACGCCGCTCGTTCTTTGCATTCTTTTTTCTAGCTTCGGCGTTACGCGTCGAAAATGCTTCCGTCCCCGCTCGCGGCGGACAGCCATATTTGTCCGCTGAAAAATAACGAGTGCACCGCACTCTCGGAACTTTTAAAAACAATTTCAAAAGCGAGCCTCCGGCTATTCACGAATTACATCCGAGAAGGCTTTGATAACTCCCGCGGCGGGAGCTCGAGTGCCGCTCTTCACCGGGTTTTCACGGGCGCTTTTTCAAAAGCTCATCGTTTACCCACCAAACCCAACATTCACACCAGCCAACCATTCAGCACTGGTAGATGTACGTGCGCGAGCATCCGGATCAAAAGCGACAAGAGAGAGGTCTCTCAGAAAGAAGGCAGCTTACCTTCAACGACGGACGCGCCGGCCGTCAGCAACAGCAGGATCAGCAGCTCCAGGCGGCACGACATATTTGTAGATATTATCCCGAGTAACACTTTGACCAAATCGTTTGCTTATCACAGCCGGCAGCAACACGCATTTAGCATATTATCAACGAGGTCACGCACATGCACACACTATTTTGTCGGCGATGCCCCTCTGCCGTATACGCCGTGGCTTTTTCTATTTATTTGGATCTAGAGTAGTTTGCCGCTGCTAACGTCGTCGTTGGATTTACAAGAGTGGCTGCACGAGCGCTACGGTTGCCCGGCCGACGCCGCGTGCTGCTGTCACGCTGGGGCCCGTCTCCATATCCGTCGCCCAAAATACACAGTCCTCTCGTCTTTTGTTTATGCGACGTTTTTCCGTGTATATGCCCTCGCCGACGGCGTTGATTAGCAGCGGCGACACTTCCCGACTGAGCAGTGACGACTCGTCAGTGCTACGATAACTCGACAACGCACTTTTTCCAAAAATTCACAGTGCGCAACCTGATGTCGCGCTGATCACACAAACACTGAACGCACTGATGTATCTTGGTGAAATCCGAGCTTGGCATTCGTCGTTGGCGAAATCGATCGAGAGAACATCCGTTCGATATCGGCTAAAGCTCGAGAAAATCCGGGCAGTGATATAGCCGACAGATCGAGAGCTGAGCGTGCCGAAAGTGCTTGGCAGAGAGCAGCGCAACGCACATCCCCCGAGATACGTTCGACGCGGCGGCCGTGTCGCGACTGCCGCGGCAGAGATTCCGCCTCGGCGCCACGCGCCGCCTCGGCATCGCTCGCCGCTTTCCGCCGCCGCTCGGCAGCGGCCGCCGGCCCTGCTCGCTCTGCCTGCCGCGTGCGCGCGCCATCCCTTTTTCGCCCGAGACCCGAGAGAGGCGCAGAGCAGCTGTAGCGCGTAGGTGCGCGCTCTCGGCCAAATAACGCGACGGGACATAATACCCGGCGTAGCTCGGGAAAAGGACGCGGCGGCCGGCAGAACTCGTCCTCCCGAGCCGCTCGCTTTTCGGGCGCATCTCCCAGCCAAGTTTTTCAGTTTGTCAGTTTTCCTTGGCTCGTGGCGGTGCGCCGTGTCCGCGTGTCCGCGTGGCCGCGGACAGCCGGCGGCAGTCTGCCCGATTTTACGACCGCGGCTGCTCCCGCGCTCTCTCCAAACCTCTTGGAATATAAGATGCGCTTCGCCGCGTGTCGCCGTTAGAGGTGTAATAAATGGACGCTCTTCCAGGTTTCTCACACTTGTCCAACACGTGCGCCACGTGTGCAACGCGCTCAACGCGCGCAGCGCCGCGGCTACCGATATTTAACCAAGCTCTTGCACGGATATCGTAGAGTTCGATGTTTCCGTTGATAGCCTAATCCAGTCATTGACATTGTCATGGATGCGACGCTCCTCGCCGACACCGGCACTCCGAGTCCTCTTGCCACTGGCAACTAGCTGCTTTTCAAGCGTTAATTTCGCTAAAACGTACAGGTACACCCGACAAGCGTAAATTGAAAATGTTTCGTGTGCGAGTGAAATTTACTTTGGCGTCTCGGATAAGGGATATTTTATTTACATCATTTATCACATATAGTTACGCGCTTTCGACACGCTCGAGCATTCGTTCACGCTGCGCGAAACTGAAGCCGAATTAATAGGCCGCGGTGAAAGAGATAAGTGAGCTTTGAAAAATGAGGGCACTCGGCTGCCCGGTTGCCGTTTTACTTGTATAATTAAAATGCGATATTATGAGACATCGCGAGATACACGTAGGCGCAACGAAGAGAAGTAGGTGGAATTCGGGGAAACGAACGACTGGGACGGAGAAGAGTTTGGGCTTTTGACGCTGTGAAAAACAAAAGGTCGAGTCCCGTTGTTGGTCTGGCCGAGGGTCAGCCTACGCTTCATCGATCTCGGGCTGTCGCTGCTGCGCCGCCACCGCTCGCCCAGGAAATAACACGGCTGCGCGCCGCGCCTCTGATCTCATCTAGACTTGGAACTGCCTACACGCCAACCGACGACGGCAATTAATATCGATAAATCAATAACGCGCTATTCCTCGCTAAATGATAGACTGTCCAACTGACGCGCAGGCGAGCCCCGCTTACCTCTAATTCGGGCTAGCTATCGCTCGCTTTTTACCCCCGAAAACCTCTCTGTATACTCATTTTCTGATACTTCTTTGTTTTCAAGCAAGGCCATCGCTTCTCGGAAACCTATATCCACCGGCTCTTTAATATCATATATTTTTTTATTACGACGCGAAAGAATTTTTCATTTTTCTCGTAAATTACACAGGTGCCACATCTATAAATGACGATGTAATTGGCTGCAACTATAGGTTACGTACTTTTCATAGCATTTTTCAACGTTTTTCAAACTTCTTCGATGTCGATACTTAACAGCTGTTTGTAACAATGACTCCGAGATCTTTTACCATTAACGACACTTGAATATTTCTTTCGCCATTCGCTATCGTGTCCCAGCGCTAATGCCAATATTTCTTTTGATGCATTCATACGTAGATTTATCTTTAATGAAAACAATCTAAACGTAATAGCAATGAACGAATCGCATTGAATTTGGCATTTGGCATTGAAAAGAACGTTGGATTATGCAAATGAGATAAAAAATTCAATCACTAGGCCGTTCATCACTTGCTTTTTCAATATTAAAGTGTGGAACAACTTGAACATTATGACGGTTCCGTATACCTGGTCATAGCTAAGATAAATTTATTTTTATGCAAATACATGCTCGTAAATTTGTTTTCCTTTATCAATATACGTAAAACATACGATATGATTTCTTAAATGAATTCTTTGAACTGGCAGTTCCAAAATAATCCGAAAAAATTTCAGCATTGCATCAATTATTTCTTTCTATCTCTTTTATAATATGCAAAATAAGCTATTTTTCACGCTATATATCAATTTTTATTTATCTCTTTTTTATCATGCACATCCAATCATTGGACAATCCAATCTATCGCAACTTAATATTCCGAAAGAAATATGCAAGTATTGTAAAGTTTTGTACATTTGCTTTGTGCATTTAGTCATCAATAATTGCAAGTCAGAAGACGCTAGAAGCAAAAAGGAACATTCGCACCATGAACGCCCACATTACATTCCAACTTTATACCTATGAGCTGCGGACCCACTTGTACTGAATAGCAAGCGAAGCAGCTACTCGTATCATTGTCCTCCGAGTAATCCCTACTTGTGAAGAAAAGAGTCTCTGACTTTTTTTCTCTGTCAGCTACAAAAATAAAAGTGACATAAAGCACTGGTAGAGCGCGCGCGCGCGCGATTCTCTCACCCTCGCGCGAGCGTTTGTATTATCCTCTGGCTTCTCCTTTTAGTCAAAAGAAAACTAGATGTAGGCGTGCACAGCCGATGTAGAAAGGATCACGTTATAAAAGTAAGATTGACCGCGTGCGCGGGCATTTTTTCAGCTGAGCTTCCGAGTGATGGATGGGTTTTTGCACTTACTAGAAAATAGCATTGAAGATTCTTTCCACCTTTTCTTTCAATCTAAAGAATATAAGAGTTAGAAGAGGAATTTTTTTTCTGTGAAATTGACGTATCTGGCAGATGTTATTTGAAGAAATAATTGACGTATAGAAAAGGCAAATTGTTTAAGAGCTTGCAAATCTTCCTTGTTCTAAACCACATCTAAATTATTTCACGCTGCACGTACACGCGGCAATCGATTTTATTTGGCAGACAATGAAACAAACACTGATAAAATAAAAGGCTTGAAAAAAGTTGGTAGGTCAATAGAATCGGCAGGGCATATTTGAACTGGTCTGACACAGATTCGTGCGTGCAAGTTTGAAAATACAGCAGAAAGTCAAAGGGCGGTATACGAGTACATACTCGTATGTAGTCGCCGCACACACGAGGAGCGTACGCGGTGGTGGTCGGCGCGAGTGCGCTTCATGCACATATTTCCAGTTGCATAACGGACACATTAACATCGGCATTCGCGTATTGTTTTGGTTGGCTGTGCGGGGATACCTCTCCCTCTCTGGCTCTCTGGCCGTGGCACTGCAACGCGATGCATATTTGCAATCCTGATATGCTCGCAACGATAACGGATCCCTATCGCCGGTCCACTCGCTCGCTATCATTACAGTTCGCTAGCCATTATGCACTAGCGCAAAGTTATTGTTTTGACTGTACCTGTAACCCGCCAGAGCAAATATTGATCGTCCCAGCTCTTTCTGTCTCTCTTTCTCTCTTGCTATCCAATTGGCTAAAATCTCTTCGGCTACGCACGCTCGCGCTCACCTGCGGCTCGCTTCATTTTTCACCCACGCTATTAGCTCATATTTTCGCGTTTCAATGAAGATGCCAACGCGCGCGCGCGCTCGCGCTTTGTCGCTTCGATTATTTTCTTCTGGCTTTGGCAAATACTAACTGCAGTGGCTCGGTCAATCATACGAGCTTTGCTTGTAATTACCCGTTATTAATCCATCCTTTGCCCATATTTTCCCAAGATTATCGAAAATTCAGCTTGTTATTTGTCGGACAAGTCAATTACTATGTAATATTGATTTTGATGGTCATTTCCCAGCGTTTAATTATTCTTGTTATAAAAGCAATTTGCACAATTTAATTAATCGTCGTAAATTATCGATTCCGCTTACGTTCGTGATTTTCGCTTATTTACGCGATTAATTTGACAAAAGTTGCATCACAAAGAAAAATAAGACAACCATCAGTTTGCACTGTATTACAGGATTAAATCATGATTGGCAGACGAAAATTGAATGTCGCGTAGATTCACATAGGTGCGATTACGGCATAATCAGCTTACTCCGTACACACTTAATAAATTGTCGTATCAAGTGGTGGCTGATGATCAAAGTCGGTATTAGGAGGAAAGCCGAGGGAGAGAGGGGGAAGCGAGAAAGTGAACGGTATGAGAGCGGAAGATGCCTCGCATGCGACTACTCCTATACGTACGTAGGTACCGAGACATATTTTAGGCGCTCGCTGAACGCTTCCAATTAACATGCGCCCGTTATATTCCTTCTGGCATGCGTGTATTTCCATTTCCATCGTCACCCTCTATATGTACTAGGCACATACAGAAGTACATGCAGCGCGACGAGATTTGCCTGAAATAATTCGCTGCAGATGAGCTTGCGCGCCCCGCTCCACGACGACGATATGCTATGTGCGCCATGTAGCCAACTTGGCGCTAAACCACATATACATATGCACCTGCACAATGTCTTCAATGGCTTAAAACCCTTCGTTCGCTCTGCTATGTATGTATATAGCTGTACTTAGTGCGGCGTTCGTTACACGCACCGTGTCTAATTATCTTAGACTAATCCCTCGAATATTCATCCTTATCGCGTTCGACTGCACAGTACGCACGCGCCGCACGCAATCGAAGCATCGAATCTGGCATGGACAATCCTTCTTTTTCGCGATTTATTCGAGTGCCTGTTCGAACGAATGTCGCAGCGTATAAACAAGGAAAACAGACGATCTCCGCGATAAATCAACTACGAATAAAATATTCCATCTCGTGTGCAACGAATAGCAAAAGCCGCGCTAATCGCGCGCTGCAAGCGTAAACACGAGTGGGCTCGTCGCTCTCTGGGGCATAGCTGCAAACGGGAGTTAATTAAAAAATTAATTGTGTCGTTTTTTCCTTTTTACAACTAGCCCTCTCGGTCTGCGTTTTGGCCTGCTGGGCGGCCACTCGCGC